AGATGATAGATAGATAGATAGATAGATAGATAGATAGATAGATAGATAGATAGATAGATGATAGGAATTAGACCGATGTCTGGTTCTCATTCTCTGTTCTTAGGCTACTGGTTTTAAAGTCACAGGGGTCATGGGTTATTTGCCCCTTAATTTAGCTAAATAGGCTTCTAGAGGGGTCGTTTCTCTTTGACTTGGCTTGCAGATACTGGCGAGGAAGATAGATACAACATTGGCAATTGCATGCCTAGTTTTAAACAAGTCGTCGCTGAGATTGTCCCACTAGGTGTGGGCCAGACATCCAGCAATTGGAGGAGACAAAAGAACCGAGGCCGTCCTGGGCCTCTTGCCCTTCTCACTAGGTGTAGTGAGTTTTGAGAGAAGTTCTGGGTAACCCTTTAGGACCCACCACCAGGTCTTTGGTGGCAGGATGATGTCATCATTACTGATAGGATCCAATATGAAGCCTGCTCTGTTCCAGGAGATCACCCCGATCTTCTGCTTTACTGCTCAGTAGTCATCCATCCAATTTTAAGTTCAGCTTCCCCTTCTGGTGCCAGGCTCTTTTTTTTTCTTTTTTCTTAACAGATGGGATTGGGGTAAAGTAATAACATTCAGCGGGTCATCCAGTTACAGCCTGAGGATTTCACTAGCACCACCAGAGAGTGATCTTATCAAGATCTACTCAACATCCCACTCAGCCTCGTGTGTCAATGAGAGGGACTGCAGTACAGTTTGGGTCTTTAGGAGGTGATGTCCTGAAGGATCAAGAGATTTGGACGTTGGGTTAGTCTTCAAGGGTTTAGCTGTGGGAGAAAGAGAAGTTAAAATGCGTTTGAGCCCATCCAGGCCATTCAAGAGAATTTGACAAGGCGTGGATGAGGAAATTGGGGGCCTTCCAGTACATTCCCCTTATAGCAACTGCCGCTGTCTGTTTCAGGATTATCCTTAGCTGCTCCTCAATGTAACTGAGCCAGTTACAACAGATTCTTTCTGTTGGAATAGAACATGTGTCTTTTCATCCTGGAATAAATCTGACAGGAATTTCCTCAACCCAAATAGCACAAAAGGAACTGAAGATCAATTACAGAAATATGTACAGTTCTCTGCATAACAAGGCGACCTCTTTCTTGCTGAGGTCAACACAGCGAACAGAGCAGCAAATCTGTGGAATGGGCAGGGGTTCTCCTAGAGGTCGGCATTCCTCTCATTTAGGGCAATCGAATGCGCAGTCTGGGTGCCTTGTAACCTGAGCGTGTTATCCTGCATGACTGGATAAAATACATAGCAGTGTGCAAAATGGAGAAAATGTAGGTAAACTGAAGAAAGTTAATAAATTTGCTTGAGTTGAGAAAAGGAGTTGCTGAAGGATGCCACTTGGAGGTCATTAAAAAGTGTCCTTGGGATGTTGAAAGGCCCTGCTGTTAGTGTTGGGCTACTGCCTTTCCTGTGCCAATGTGTGTCCATTTGTCCTGTGGCACCAAGATTTGCCAGTTTGTCCCAGGTAAAGACAGCCAGTCTGGTGTAGCGGTTAAAGCATCAGGCTAGAGACCAGGGGACCATGAGCTCTAGCCCTGCCTTGGCCACGAAGCCAGCCGGGTGACCTTGAGCCAGTCCCTCTCTCTCAGCAGTAGGAAGGAGGAGGCCAGGGCAACCCACTTCCAAAATCTTGCCAAGAAGACTGCAGGGAGTCAACACTGACGTGAAAGTGCAAACACACACCTAGGTAAAGTGTAGTGGTTGTTACTGAGAGCCTAGAGTACATGGGAGGTTGAGCAAACACATGTTCCCCTGATGTCATGACCTGAGGGGTCAAAGGGAACCTCCAGGTGAAAAAAGACGAAGGAGCTGCTGAACGGAAGAGGAGTTGTAGATGTCAGCCCTTCAAGGTAGAGCAGATTAGGAAACCGAAGTCATGACACCAAAGCCACTTTTATTCTAGGGTTACAGCAACAGGATCTTTGCAAGCCCGAACGCGTCGTCCCCCGTCCCTGCCTTTACCCCCAAGAGAGCTAGGGAGGGTCCAGCCTGAGACGCTTTTGCAACTTCCGTTCCTGCTTTGGGCCGAGATTTCTCTTATCGGAGCGTTGCCTTGGCTGCGGCTCTTTCTCAGGGTTATTCTCTCAGCCCATTACAGAATGTTTTCAGTTATATCAACACTGAGTGCATATCATTCAGCTGGGAAAACTCGCTGCCTGTTTTCCAAGGAAATTTTCTATGTCAATATCCTTCTATAAAATTAATTAGTAATATAAGACAGGAGCATAGAACAAGTCGAACTGGATTTGACCTGGCAGCATATTGAAAAGCCCCTACATTTAGAAGACAATTCATGGCCACACTGAAGCCATGTGCCCACGTAACCATGCCATTAGGCACCTAAGAGAAGGAGCTGCATTTGCTGAGAACATTCAGTACTTGGATCATTTCAGCTGGACTTCTAGGGAAGGTAAAGTTACACTGGCAAAACGCACCAGATGCAACCCAGCAAAACTTCCAGAATGGAGCGGAGCATCTGGCAGGGTAGGGCCCAGGTGGGGTGGGGGGTGGGGTCAAAAGTCATCTGGGTGGCCATAACCACATGATCAAAGCCCCCCCTTTTTAGCATGCATGTAAAAAAGGGGGGGCTTTGATTGCATAGTTGTAGCCATCATCTGGACTCTTTTGACCCCCTGTGGATACCCCTGGCGGGGCAGGGAAAGGAGGACCCGTCGCTCCCGTCGGCTGAGGCTGTGGGGGCTGGCAGCATCCCCTCCGAGGGACGTCCTGCAGGCCAGAGCTCGGGAGGGAAGGCGCTGGGGGTGCGGGCCGTCTAGAGGAACTTGCCGAGTTCCCCGAATGCTCCGCTAAGCTCCTGAATGGGCCTCCAACTGGTTGCTGCTGGACAGCGGTGCTGCCCGAGAAGAGAGGCCCTTCCACCGAGAGCAGGGAAGCGGGTCTGGCCGGGCGGTTGAGCAGGTGAGCCAGGCACCCCTCCATCACCGGCTGAGCAAGCTGCTCGGAGGAAGCCGGCGGCCAACCGCCATGAGGATGCCCCGTAGACCCACTTGCAGCTGAGCAATGGGAAGGTAGAAGGACCTGATGCCGAAGGCGAGGAGGAGTGGGGGGAGGACAATAGGCTCCAGAATCCAACACCCCCCCTTTCTGTAGCCTGAAGGACTTATGATTCGCTATTTCATTATTCAGGGCTACGGCTCCCCCCCCCCCCCCCGACCCCAAGGCCCTGGGGGAGCAGAGCCAGAATTAGGCAACGAAAGCGAGGTCTGGAGCACCAATGGGATGAGTCAGGGGTTCCAAGCGATGATAATGTGACCTGGTCAATGAAGCTGCCAAGCATGACGGAGCTCCTCTTATAGGTGGCGCTGGGTGTGCCTTTAAGGGACACCACGGTTTCAAAAGGCAGAGGTGGTGGAGGGTTTGGGGGTTCTTTTATTACAAATACATATACAGGAATTAATGAAAAAACAGAACTATGTACAGCTGTCTCCAGACTGTCCGGTTCCCAACTTCCTGTGCCTCTCCTCTCCCGCAGGGCTCTTTGCAAGCAGCCACCCGCACGAGCCCCTTTGAAGGGCTGCCACCCCTCCCCAGCTTTTCAGCAAGCAGGAGGGGAAGGGAAATCAGCCACTTCACTTTGGAGGGTGCTCGGCGCCTTTGGCCGTGCCTCATCGACCGTCCCTCTGCACAGACGGTGCACGATGCCCCCCTCCGGGTCCTCTGCCCAGCCTTCCTGGCTGCAGCCAACCATCTCCCTCCGTCCCGCCTGCCTTGGCTTCGGGGTGAAGCCTGTCCCTCCGCCGGGACCTTTGCTTCGCTGCTCCCAGGGAAGCCTCCAGCCCACGCCCCCCCCCAGGGCCAGGAACCAGCCCCTGCACTCCCAGCAACGGCCCTCCCCGCTGCCAACTTCCCGCCGTCCCTCCAAAGGCACTTGCTGCCTCGATGCCTCACTGCAGCACAGGCTGCAGGCGGCAGCATCTCTCCCACTTCCTCTCCCCCCTAGCAACCGAAGAGGGGGTCCCGCTCCCCCCGTCCCCAACACCTGTACACTGGGCTCCGCCACTGAGAAGGCTGCCTCCACCTGCCCCGCCG